TATTTGAACACAAACCAGGGGCTATATTTTGTACATAAATGTACATCGTTTTATATATACACATATATATGTATATATGACTACCATTTGTTGAGTGCTTAGTATATTTTTGCAGTGTTTTTTGTACATAAGTGCACATACGTACATTTATGTACACATTTATGTACATATTTTGTACATAAATGTACATTGTTTTATATATATATACATATATATATGACTACCATTTGTTGAGTGGTTAGTAGCAGTGTATTTTCTTATTTTATCCTTTCAACAATTCCTTGGAGGTAGGGATTCTAATCTCCACCTAGATTTACAATGCTCAGGTCATTTGTTACCGCTGAAAAAAGGGCTAAAGGAGTTAAAAGCCAGATTCCACAAATAAAATTTAGGCCTTTATTTATTCCTCACAAATTCAGAGAGAACCAGTGTTTGACCACTTTTTCTACTGCTATAAGACCGAAGAAAGGGGCGCCTGGGTGGCTCAATGGGTTAAGCCTCTGCCTTCGGCTCAGGTTATGATCTCAGGGTCCTGGGATCAAGCCCCACAACGGGCTCTCTGCTCCTGTTCCGCCCCTCCTCCCCACCTTCTTGTGATCTCTCTCAAATAAATAAAATCTTTTTTTTTTAAAGATTTTATTTATTTGACAGAGATCACAAGTAGGCAGAGAGGCAGGTAGAGAGAGAGAGGAAGGGAAACAGGCGCCCCGCTGAGGAGAGAGCCCGATGTGGGGCTCGATCCCAGGACCCTGAGATCATGACCTGAGCCGAAGGCAGCAGCTTAACCCACTGAGCCACCCAGGCGCCCAATAAATAAAATCTTTTTAAAAAAATTTCTAAGAGACTAAAGAAAGCAGATGGTAGCTATAATTTTGGGTATATAGTTGTTGAACCAGTGTGTTATACACTTGAAACTAATGTAACATTGTGCATCAACTATACTTAATTTGAAGAATAGGACCCACTCCCAAAGCTAAATGTGGTTCATCATGCTGTTATTTTATTTTTTTATTTTTAAGGGATTTTATTATTATTATTTTTTTAAAGATTTTACTTGTCAGAGGGCAGAAGCAGGGGGAGGGGCGGGCAGAGGGAGAATCAGACTCCTTGCTCAGGGGGCAGTCAATCCCAGGACCCAAGGATCTTGTGCTGAGCGGGAGGCAGACGCTTAACTGAGAGAGCCACCCAGGCATCACAATATTTTATTTATTTTAGTCACATATTTTATTTATTGTGCAAGAGAGAGCAGGGGCATGGGACAGAGGCAGAGGGAGAGGGCGAGGGAGAGAGAAGGGAGCTACATGCTGAGGGCAGAGCCTGATCCATGCTCAGCATCCCATGACGGTGAGATCATGACCAGAGCCAAAACCAAGAGTCAGAGGCTTCACCAGCTGGGCTACCCAAGCGCCCCAGTCATGTAGTTATATTCATAAGTAAGGCACTAGTGTAGTTGAAATGGTCCTGTTACTCCATTGTGATGGCCAAACCCCTTCCTGTGCTAAACTGTCGTAACAAAATGATGCTGCTGCTAAAGTTAAATGTTTTCTGTTTTCCTGGAAATTATACTAATTTACTTAGTCTAGAGCATTTTTACAGCAAAACAGTTGGCTAGAGGCATTGCCTTCTGAGTCTAGTAATTTGTTTTTACAGAGGTGTCACAGATGTGTCTCAGAGGTGGCAGAACTTGATTTGGACCTTGAAGGTGAAGAATTTGGATGAGGCAGTTGGGGCATTCCAGGTGAGAGAAAGGTGTGCAAGAGGGCTCTTGTTGTGGGCCAGGTGCAGGACATAAAGTGAATTAGGAGGTACAAACTTCCAGTTATAAAATAAATAAGTCACAGAGATGAAAAGTATAGCATAGGGAAGATAGTTAATAATACTGTAATAACATTGTATGGTGGCAGATAGTGACTACACTTACTGTGGTGAGCATTAAGTATAGAATTGTCCTATCAGTATGCTGTACACCTGAAACTAATATAATACGTCATTATATTAGGTATGTCAACTATACTTCACTTTAAAAAATTCTTTAAATTTTATTTATTCATTTATTTATATTTATCTACTTTAGAGAAAGGACATGTGCGTGTGCAAGCAGGGGGAAGAGTGGAGGGAGGGAGAATCCTGAAGCACACACCCTGCGGATTGCCAAGCCCTGTTTTGGGCTCCAGTCCATGACCCTGAGATCATGACCTGAGCCACAATCAAGAGTCGGTTTCTTCACCAACTGAGCCACCTAGGCACCCCAACTTTTTTTTTTTTTTTTTTAAGTGATGACCCTAGAATAGACAAAAGTCAACTTGATTTTCTCCAGACTGCATTCAGCCTGGTATGGGCTTCCCAGTCCAGATACAGGTCTAGACAGACTTGAACCCAAACCCAAGTGCTAGGAGAACCATAAAAGTGGTGCTGTAACTTGGTAATACTTCTAATCAGTTTGTGAAATTTTGCTAATCCTAGATCAAATGGGACTACAATTCCAATACTGAATTTCACCTTCAGTTGGTTTTTTTTCTTTTTTTAAAAGATTTTATTTATTTATTTGACAGAGATCACAAGTAGGCAGAGAGGGAGGCAGAGAGAGAGGAGGAAGCAGGCTTCCTGCCAAGCAGAGAGCCTGATTCGGGGCTCGATCCCAGGATGCTGGGATCATGACCTGAGCCGAAGGCAGAGGTTTTTAACCCACTAAGCCTCCCAGGGGCCCCGCCCCCCCCTTTTTTTTTTTAAGATTTTATTTATTTGACAGAGAGACCACAAGCAGGGGGTGTAGCAGGCAGAGGGAGAGGGAGAAGCAAGCTCCCCTCTGAGCAGGGGGAGCAGGATGTGGAATTCCATTCAGAGACCCCAGAATCATGACCTGAGCTGCAGGCAGTTGCTTAACCAACTGAGCCACCCAGGTGCCCCACATTTAGTTATTTTTTGCTCAAGAAAGCAGTGAACAGGGGCACCAAAGCTGATAAGAGAGAGCTGGGATTTGAGCTCAGGTAAGGTCTGACTCCAGACACCCCATTCTTCATCTCTAGTTGCTTAAGTTAGAGAAAAAGAGACAACTACAGAAAAGAAGAAAAGGTATCCAAAGTTTCTGGCCCCTTAGGCCCTAACCGTTCAGGTGTATTCTCTTGTCATTTAAAGTCACTTTTATGGGATACCTGGGTGGCTCAGTGGGTTAAATCCTCTGCCTTCGGCTCAGGTCATGATCCCAGGGTCCTGGGATGGAGCCCTGCATCGGGCTCTCTGCTCAGCAGGAAGCCTGCTTCCCTTCCTCTCTCTCTGCCTACTTGTGATCTCTGTCAAATAAATAAATAAAATCTTAAAAAAAAAAAAAAAGAACGCAGTGAACAAAAATCTCCATTTTGACCCCTGTCCACCTGTACCTCTCCTCCAATTATTTCTTCTCCTTTTTTACTTTTAAACAGCCTTGAAACCTGTTAGGTAGAAAACCGTTTGACTGCAGTAATGTGTTACCTATTAACCCAAGCCCTCTCAATACAATCAAGAAAGAAAGGTCTTGAGTTAATTTTTGCAACATAAAGAACTTGTTTGTAGTGGCATATTGCCATCACTGAAGTTAGTGACTTTAGTAAACATCTTAAATTACTTGTTATAACGTCCCAAATCAAAACCCACGTTCCAAAGCAAAGCTTACTTTATATACTACGTAATAGCCAGAAAATTATTGAGCCTTGATGTCAAATTTTATTTTTAAATTTTTATTCATTTATTTAAAGATTTTTATTTATTTGTGAGAAAGCACATGGTGGGCTGGGGGGCAGGGTGTGTGGGCAGAGGGAGAGTGAAAGGCAGAAGCTGATTCAATGCTGAGTGTAGAGTCTAACTCGGGGCTCCACCCCAGGACCCTGACATCATGACTTGAGCGGAAGTAAGATGTTTACCTGACTGGGCCACCAAGGCACCCCTAATTTTTATTTATTTTTTTAAGTTTATCTAAGTAATGTCTATCCAACATGAGGCTTGAACTCATGACCCCCAAGATCTAGAGTTGCATGCTCTTCTAAGCCACCCAGGTACCCCTTTAATGTCTAATTTTTAAATAAATCAAGGTTAAGAGACTTTGTAAATAGAGGTCCTGACCTTTGTCAGTGAATTGCATCCCTAGCTGAACCCTGTGTAAGGGATGCCACAGATGCAAGGCCTTTTTTAAGGACCTTCGTTTTGTTTTAGGACTTTATAGTTAACAAGTTTTTAAGCAGTGTCTTACCTTTCTGGTTTTTTTTTTTTTTTTTTAAGATTTTATTTATTTATTTGACAGAGATCACACGTAGGCAGAGAGGCAAGCAGAGAGAGAGGAGGAAGCAGGCTCCCTGCTGAGCAGAGAGCCCGATGCAGGGCTTGATCCCAGCACCCTGGGATCATGACCTGAGCTGAAGGCAGAGACTTTATTTAACCCACTGAGCCACCCAGGTGCCCCAGTGTCTTACCTTTCAATAGGAGAGTGGCCACCACCCAAAGGGCTTCATTTACATTTATGTTGTTTTTTAGAAAGTTCCCTATTCCGAGCAAGGTGTCTTTCACATTCTGCAGAGGTCTCTGACCATTGCATTACTTGTACCTTTGAAAAAGATAGAGCCTGGGTGGCTCATTTGGTTAAGCGACTGCCTTCCACCCTGGTCATGGTCCTGGAGTCCTGGGATTGAGTCCCACATCGGGCTCCCAGCTTGGCGGAAGTCTGCTTCTCCCTCTGACTTCTTTTGTCTCATGCTTTCTCTCTCTCTCATTCTCTCTCCCTCTCAAATAAATAAAATCTTAAAAAAAAAAAAAAGATATAGCTAAATTCAAGAAAATGAGCTAAATAAACTGGACATTATTTCGCATTATTTGTCCTTTCATTGCACTCTATCTTCCTGTTAGTTTCAACTCAACAAATAATTTGAGTCCAGAGGTAAATCTATTTGATGGACACAACTGTAATAGAATCGTGATTGCTTATGTTAAAAAAGCTAGCCCAAAGGTTGTTGTCCTTCTGTACACTGTTGTGGGAAAGGTTAAATGTAGGAAGTGTTTAAGTCTCAAAAGTAACTCAATAATCCTTACCAAAATGATTAATGTTTTTCTTCACTGATGAACCAGTAATGGTTTAGTGTTATTAGTATTTAGTATTGTTACATCTCTGTTCCTGCTAAATGAAAAATTCATGTACTCTGGTATCAGAAAAACCTGAGAAGCTTGTGAATGATTCAGATTCCTGCCCTCCACCCCGACTCCAGATCTACTGAATCACAACCTTTGGTTGGATTTTTTTTCTTTTGTGCTTTTTAAAAAGATCTTCCCAGGAGGGGTGCCTGGCAGGCTCAGTCAGTAGAGTACGGGACTCTTGATCTCAGGAGTTGTGAGTTAGATCCCCACATTGGGCAAAGAGTTTACATTAAAAAATAAACAGATAAAATAAAATCTTCCCAGGAGATTCTTTTTTTTTTTTTTTAAAGATTTTATTTATTTACTTGACAGAAATCACAAGTAAGCAGAGAGAGGGAGAAGCAGGTTCCCTGCTGAGCAGAAAGCCCGATGCGGGGCTCGATCCTAGGACCCTGAGATCATGACCTGAGCCAAAGGCAGAGGCTTAACCCTCTGAGCCACCCAGGCGCCCCTTCCCAGGAGATTCTGATGCATACTAATGCTAGAGAACTTTGATGTAGATAAAACCACTGGTTGCTTTATTTTTTATATTTCAGCAAAGTGAACATTGTGTCAGTTCAACTTCAGTTTGCCCTTAAGCTGTTTTCAGGCAAGTTAGGCCTTGGTACTTAAGCAAAGTTTCTTAAGAATCTTTGTACAAAGGGAAAGTTCTATTCATAATTTCAAAGTCCAAGAAATTTCCAGTGAGCAAAATGAAAATTAAAGTTGGATGATAAAAACAGAACTTGACACTAGAGTTTTTCAAAGACCATGTTAGCATTTTATTTTTCTATTCCTGACACTCAAATTCATAGGGGGTGAATAATAATAGAACAAAATCAAAATAACATATAAACACAATTCAATTCAAGAACATTTAACCATCAGTCGTAAATGTTCTTTATAAAATACATAAAGGTAAACAGAAACATCTTTATATAAATTATGCTTAACAATCTGTATATACTGTGAAACCATTGTTAAAATCCACACTGAGATGCTAGTGCAAGCAGTGGTATACAAAAGTGCAAACAAGGTTAATGATAAAAAGAACTTAGACTGGCTTACCATTCAACATACTCTATATTCAGTCAACTACTGAAGTCCTCATTACAGAAAACACTTTGATCACTTTCAAAGTAACGTGACTACATTCACCCTGAGTGCTCTCACCTCAGTATGGCAACTGTATGATGATGAGTTCAGGTTAGGAGTGGCACCAGGGAACAAAGAAACCCATGTGAAGTTGGCCATTCTGATGTGAATCTCTATACTTGATAATGAAAACAATTCCAAAGACCACTTGTATGTCAAAAGCTGTAGAACTATCACCCCCTTTCCCCCCAAATATTTAAAATTGAAATTAATTCAAATTCTCCTTCCCTTAAAGAAGAATTCATCCACTTCAGTGAAGCTTTTCCAAAAATAACTTTGTGTGAAATCACTCAAAAGGCTTTTCCATTTCTGCCCTAAAATCTATTTGGGGCAAGGATGCTCCTTCAACAAAGTTTACTTTTTTATTTTTTAAAAGATTTTATTTATTTATTTGACAGAGAGAGACATAGTAAGAAAAAGGGAACACAGGCAGGGGGGAGTGGGAGAGGGAGAAGCAGGCGCCCCACTTAGCAAGATGCCCAATACGGGTCTCTATCCCAGGACCCTGGGATCATGACCTGAGCAGAAGGCAGACACTTGACTGAGCCACCCAGGCGCTCCATAAGTTTTACTTTGGATAAATTTGCTTAGTGTGATTATTTTTGATTCTTTTAAAAACTATAGTCAGGGACGCCTGGGTGGCTCAGTTGGTTAAGCAGCTGCCTTCAGCTCGGGTCATGATCCCAGTATCCTGAGATCGAGTCCCACATCGGGCTCCTTGCTTGGCAGGGAACCTGCTTCTCCCTCTGCCTCTGCCTGCCTCTCTGTCTGCCTGTGCTCACTCTCGCTCCTTTCCTCTCTCCCTGACAAATAAATAAATAAAATCTTAAAAAAAAACAAAAAACTGTAGTCAAAACCCTGAACATTCTATCAGTGGTACTAAATGCATAAATTACTTAATGTTCTAAATTATGAGAACAAAAATTTGTTGGTTCAGAGCTACATCTTCAATATGACTCTTCAGTGACTCTGTAGATTCCCTTCATACTTTAAAAAATATTTTTCTTAGTTATTTATTAGAATGAGAGAGAGAGCATGAGAGGAGACAGGTCAGCAGGAGAAGCAGACTCCCTGCTGAGCAGGGAGCCCAATGTGGGACTCCATCCTGGGACTCCAGGATCATAACCTGAGCCGAAGGCAGTCGCTTAACCCACTGAGCCACCAGGGTGCCCCCCTTCATACTTTTTATCCAGGTGTGCTGTGGGAGTATGAGGGAGGGATGGTTCTAGAGACCAAGAGTAGATATATGGTTTTAACAAAATCCCAATCACTTTGCACAGAGACACAGTCCCATAATCCAAGACCTGTTCTTTCCTTCCTTTTTGGGGGGAGGGGGGTTAAAAAAGCACTAATTTGCATTTCAAAAGACCAGCGATGGAAGCCATCAGAAGCATACCATATAGCTTTGTGAATTTAGACCTTCACTGAAGATATACTGTTTTCTGAACACTTAGATTTATAGCAAAAAATAGTAAAGGTTCATAGAAAACCTTTAATGCACCATTAATTTTGCATTAAGGAATTTTTATTTGCTCATCTCTATTTTTTTCATGCTTTCTTGGAAATTTTTGGAACCTCCACCAACTTTTACATAGGTTTAAATTGATCCAAACAATATATTCTAAGTAAAATGAACACAAGATATTTTGAGAGCATTCCCTTCATATTAGTTATTCTCATTGTAGTCTGGTGAAAATTTGGCAATAAATCCTTGCAAACTTGAATCACATAACTATCAAGACTGAAATGCCACACTGAGCCACAACCAATACAGTTTCACAACATGTAAACCTTTCTCCTGCAACTCTCAAATCATGTCAGCTAGAATTACACTGTTTTTAATGATGGAACTTGTGAAAATGAGGTGTTTTAAATGTGACTGATCAAATCATTTTGCAGAAGGCAAGAAGCAGTATTATCACTGCTATTACCTTATTTTAATGATTTTGCAAGTTTATGTGCTGGAAAGTACTAGGAAGAAGTGTGAGCTGGTTCAAAACTCAGGAAAAGAAACAACACTGTAAACCACAGTAAATGTGTATATACATGTAAGCATACAAAACTAAAACTGACATCTATGCAGGCAGTATCTGGATTCATACATCTTTGGCATTCAAAGATACTGGGTCAACCAAGCCAATGGTGAAGAATTTTTTTCATATATTTCAGAAAATGTCTTGCCCCAATTTTAAAAAATGCTATGCTCTCTCCATTCTAAAAATTCACTGAGCTAAAGACAAACTGGAATCAGTTTTAAAAGTTACCCGAAAATACAATTAACAGCAATCCTTGAAAGAGGTGTGGGGTTGAGGGTTTCATTAAAATGAGAAATGTAGGCTGAGATCTTGTTTTTTAGAGCTGTAGACTAAAGATTTTAATGTATCTTTTGAGCAGTGCCTGATTTATATGGAATCCAATCTTGTATACATTTTCACAACTTATGGTAAAAGGTACAAAGTTAATCTATGTCCCCAATGCTACAATTTACCCCCAAAATACTGAACAGGCGCACATACTTGCACAAGCACATAGAGAGTACATGTTTTCCCCATGTGCTTTCACTTTTTCTTGCACTTCTCTTAATATGCTTCTCTTGAAGGGGAGCAGTGACTCAATGGATGTGTTCAGAGGAGCTGGAAGAGTGAGATGGTAAGCCCAATGACTAGGGCCCATCTCCCCAGAGCTGGGATGAAAGCCACTTGCTGCTATGTGCAGCTTCATTTCTGAACATTCAGGCCATAAGAATTTCTCATCATTGGGAAAACAGCCACAGTTTAGTTGTGGTCCACAACTGACTTTAATTCTATGATTCCAGTGTCAGAACTAGAATGAGAATTTTGGAATGATATATTTTGTACCAGAAAGCATTTCTCCACTTCAGAGAAATTAGGAGGGTTTTTTTTTCCTTTATACCAATTTATGACACAAGTAATTGATTTCACAATATCACAATATAAGGAAATACTTGAAGAAAATGCAATGTCCTTCTAGGTGCTCAAGATAGATACCAACAAGAGACAGTTACTTTTAATAAGGCCTAGTTCTGTTTAGTCAGGATATTAGAAGTACTTGATTTATTTTTCATTCGTTTAAGTAATCTTTACATCCACTGTGGGGCTTGAACTCACAACCCCAAGGTCAAGTCACATGCTCCATAAAATGAGCCAGTCAGGTGCCCCTAAAAGTGAGTACTTGAATTACACGTGGCAAAATAAACCAACAGGTTGATATGTCATCTCCTCCTTTTCCCATGATGCTAGTGATGATTCTAAGCAGGGAAGAAGCTCTTATTTTCATTTGAAAGAAACAGAAGAGCCATATTACTAAAACCAGAGGTCATGTTGAAATGACCTTGTTGATTTAGCTAACTGGTGATTCCTTCCAGTCATATCCCTTAATCCTTAATCTGTCTCAGATGTTCCATTATTAATGATAGAACTAGAGTAACTGATTTGGAAAAGAGCTAAAGAAAACACTAATTCTGATATTAAAATTATTCTTGATGGAATGGAGCAATCTATTCTCAATGGAACTAGTTAAATATACTATAAAATCCTGGTTTATAACCAAGAGAGAACTAACTCTCTTAAGTTTGAGTCTTTAAAAATACATATTTGGCACTTATCTTTCAGCTTATTTTAGTAATTATGGGAATCTCAGAACCTCATGGAAAAGAATTACTCAATTTCTTAGAAAATTAAAGTGCTCTAAAAGCTACCCAAAACATTAATCTATCAGTGAGGCTTGCAGATGCTATCACACAGCAGGCATTACTTGTAAAAACAAAAAAGACTTTGTGCTATAAATATAAAGTAAGAGCTGACAGCAGTTAAGAAAAAAGAAAATCGAACACAAGCATTCATTTATTTCTACTGAGAAATAAAATATGCCAAACAATGCAAAAGAGCTATAGGACAGGACCAGAATCCCCACGCAGCTCAGATGGCAGAACAGGCTTCCTTTCTCCTCACACAGGCCTCTACAATGAAACTATGCACAAGGTGCTGTGCTACCTGTTGCATCATTATGTAAAAGGGAGTGGGGAGTACCTCTAAATGTGGGGACACTGGTGCCCGTCACTATTTTTGGTGAAAAGGCACAAATGACCAAACTGGGCACCGGTAAGTTGGAATACTTCAGAATCAGACAACTGGAATGGAGCTATAGGCCTATCAAACCCCAAATTAACCCTGTGCTGTACCAGAAGATGTGCTTTTCTTCAAAAGACCGATCCCACAGAAACTAGGAGGTGGATCCCATCAGCATTAATCATGGTAGCATTACTGTGACAAATACACGCGATGCAAAGAGAAATGTGGTGTAAGGTGGAACCAAACACAGTGTGTCTTCTGGTAAATGCAAAAGCTTCTAGAGACTTACACATTATCCTAAAAATTCTGAAGTGGTCTCCTTGCCCCACAACCCCCTCATACGTATGTTATTAAATACTCAAAACGTCAGAACATACTAGCTAGATAAGACACATTAAAATGAAACACCTGCCCAACAAAGATGCCAAATATCAGGGTGTGTTTTATTGCATGACGTTTGCATAAGAAAAAATATTATTGAAAACTGTAAGGCATCATGCAATCATCAATAACCTAATTATTAACTGTACACTTAAGATAGGTGGACATATAATCTAAAATTTAAAAACTAGTTCCAAAATAGTACATAAAAATTTAACATGATGAGCTTTTAAACATGGTTTGTATTCATAGCTTCACGTTGTTAAAAAGTGCTTCAAATGTACTGCTGGAAAGTTGTTCTTTATAAATGGCACTGGGGATAATGTCAGATTATAAACTGTATAAACTATTTTTATGGAATTAGAAAGCTAACATTGTGATACTCAAACTTGAATCAGTTTTCAATTTGCACTCAAATTAAGTTGATATAATATTAATAATCTAAAAAAATCTGTTTTCTAACCAACAAAAGTCTATTGAATTCAAGTTATGCATGTTGAGTGGATCAAATCTCTGAGTAGGCCTGAATGGTGAGACCTGGAACCGATGCAAGTGGTTGTTAATCAATGTACTGTGCCATCCAACGGAAACCTTCTCCGTAACCTTGCCTTTTGAGCACGCTGCACATGAAAACTTCTAAGGGTCGGGCATTCAGTTCTTTCAGAGATACATTGCCCTAGAAGGGAAGACAGACATTATATTATGATGGATGACCTCTTTATGAAATAAAAGCTCCACTTTACAGCTGAATTGCAGCTTCTACATCTCAGAACAAAGGGTGACTGTGCTTAAGCCTCGGGTTTGGGCAGACAAGTGCCTTAGACACACAAGAAACCTCCTCCTCTCACTCAGTGGGAAAGAGGGGAGTATGTGAGGCACATAAAAATGAAAACAGTCTTTGACTTGGAAAAATTTAAGTTACCCAAGCCGGCTTCACTAATATTAAAGACAAACCTTTCTGAGTAGGTTTATGACTAAACAAGGCATTTCCTAAAAATGGGGAGTTGACTTACTGAAAAGAAGACACCGAAAACAGACTAAAGTCTACCCTAACACCAGAGTCTCCTTCAAAACAGTGCAGTATTTCTCTACTCTGAAAGAAATACATATAAACCAAGGACATTTTGTTTGTATATTCTGAGATTTTTCTATACCAAGGTCTCTCCCTCATACAAATTGACTGTAAAAATTGACTGCAAAAATAACGCATTTTGAAGCTTATTATAAAGTATTATGTTCAGGGGCGCCTAGGTGGCTCAGCTGGTTAAGGGTCTGCCTTCTGCTCAGGTCATGATCTCAGGGTCCTGGGATTCAGCCCAGCATGGGGCTCCCTGCTCAGCAGTCTGCTTCTCCCTCTCCCTCCTCCACCCCCTCATGCTCACTCTCCTTCTCTCCTATAAATAAAATCTTAAAAAAAATATATTATGTTCAAAAAATCCCCCAACACTCCTATGTTCAAATTTACATTTTATTTTTATCTCTGATGAACTCAGGGTCTAAATACACTATTGGAATGCTTAAACATTTAAGTATATTATTTGGGGGCTAATTCTGAAAATCTGTGACAAATAAAGCTTTGAAAGTTTTCATTTGGTTTCCCACAAGCATGAGTTTTGACATTCTTGTTATCCCCAAGAAAAGGTTTCATTCAGTGGTAGAAAGAAAACACATAAAGACATTTAAAGACCCAAATGTACAAATGAGTTTTTATGAAAAAAATAATAACGGGCATATGTAGTTGGACAACAGTAATTTAAAAAGACATTTTGTTATATACTTGAAACTAACATTATATATCAGTTATACCTCAAAAAAAAAAAAAAAGGCAGACTGCCAGTTGGACTAATCACCATGATTACTGTCAGTGCTAATATTGGAATTAAACTATTTCAGAAGATAAAAATAAGTAAGACATTGAACTGAAAGACCTTTACACCGTCAAATGAAATATTCACACTAGTCAAAAAAAAAAAAAAAAAAAAAACTGTTTTATTTACCTTTCCTGTTGTCTGACCATATAAACCAAACATCTCTCGTAACCTCTCTTCACTGATGGCTTCAGGTCTGTCAATCTTATTCCCAAGAATCAGTATAGGCACATTAGCAATGGTTTCATCTGTCATTAGTGACTGAAACAAAATGAAAGACAAGATGTTGATATGAAACTATCTGAAGAGCTCCTTATGACAAGATACCAATGAGTATCAAGGACTTATTCTCTACCATAGCATGTCAGTTCTGCCAAATTTCATTGACAAACTTTTTGTACATTTGAAAATAAGATCTGGGGTGCTTGGCTGTCTCAGTCAGTAGAACCTGCAATTCCTAATCTGAGCCTTGTGAGTTTTAGCTCCAAGCTGGGTGGAAAGAGGAGTTAAAAACAAAAAACAAAAAAACCTTAAAAACACACAAAAAAGTGAGCTCAAAGAAACTGTAAGCTCCTTGTGTAAATGCTCAACTCTGCTGCTCGCTCTGTGAATCACTAAGGGACTCTAAAACAAACACCTTGAAGCTGAATAGACCTGGTTTCAATTCCAGTTCTACTGCTTATGAACTGTGAGATCTTGGACAAATAAGCCTCAATGAAGCTCAAAGCGAATTTGGAATAGTAGCACCTACCTTATGGAGTTGATCTGGGAATTAAATGATATAATATACACATGCCTGGCACAAAGTAGGTAGTCAGGAAATCTGTGACCCTGTTCCATGACCACAGAACCTACCTGGATTTTGCCACATGAACAATTATTTGCCTGCACTGGGCAGAGGCATAGTCAGGTCAAATCACTGCTTCCTCTGTGGTCCCAGATCAAGCCGTGGCCTTCCTGGCTGATCCTGAGCCACTTTATGAAGCATCTGACCTGGGAGAGAGGGAAGAGTAGTACCTACACATGCCTCCACTCACTCGTAGAAGTGGTGACTAAGATAGCATGTTATACCATTTCCAGGTTCCGGCCAACTCCTGAAGAAAATGGCATCTAGGATGACCAGGGACTCAAGACCAAGGCACTCCAGGTATGCCACAGACATGAAATATACTACAAAGGTATGCTGCACAGAGTGAGCTTAGGTCTTCAGGAAGAAAGTCTGTGCTAGTATGTCCTCAATAGCTACAATTACTCCAAGCTACTGTCTCTGTGTTCTAAGCAGAGTTAACCACTGAGCTCCATAAATTGCCAGGAGTTTTATCAGAGACTACAGAAAATCTGCACTCTGATACTTAGATCTCCAACCTATTTCTTCAAGCTTACCAGAGTGATTCAGCTACGTTTAGTTTTAGTTAACTTACATCAAGTTCTTCTTTTGATTCTAACAGCCTTTCATGGTCTGCACAATCCACCAGAAATACAATGCCATTGATAGCAGGAAGGTAGTTTTTCCACACTCTTCGAGCTAACAAAAACAATCAGGAGTTAGATTTTATTTGCCGGTCAAACCTAGCAGATGGTTTGATGGAAGAGTCCAACAAGAAACCAAGTTTAATTATCCCTTAGCTGCTACCACTTCACTATATATTCAAGTTCATCTTTAACCCAGGGTTGCCAAATTTTTCCAGAGGACCAAGTGTGAGCAAGTCAAATATTTTACTCTGCTCCAGTTCTCCCAAGTTAGAAATGGAATTATTATTTGCTACTAATGGACAATGATGCACATTAAGTTCACTGGATGACTGCCATTATTTTTAAAATTTATATGCAATATTCATTTTCTGACATTTCAAGTTTAGCAGTTATTTTGCCACTGATAAATTCGGAGTCAGTGAAAGGAGGAAATTAGTGGGTACAGATTTGTTAAGTTAAAATAATAAAGCAAACTGTTACAACAGAAATTAACTGAAGTCAACAAAACCTTTAGGGTAATTTTTCTATGACATTATTTTTAGAGAAGTTTTAGGAGTGCCTTAGGGGTAAGCAACTTTTTACTGACTTCAGTTTTATATCTTAAAAGCAACACAGAAATTAAGTCTCAGACTCCATTAGGTTCCAATTCTCTCTAACCATTGTATTCTGGAGTATTTCATATATATTTCAAATAATTATAATGTCTCAAATGTGCATTCACTAGCCACAACCACCAAAATCTTTTCAACTATTTGTCACAGGAGCCTTAGAATGCCCACCAACTTTATAATATTCACTATTTATGAATTACCATGTGCTGGGTACTGTCATGTCTTTTGGGGGACATACGAAATACACTTGAGTTCCTGAAAGTTTAATAGAGGAGATAACACAGTCTTTTCCAAACTTGTAGACATTTACACAAATGCACTAAGCACCATGGAAATATAATTGAGAGCATTCCCAGGTGAGAGTGGGAAGTAGCCACACGTACACTGGGCCCTGAAGGTGGGTTACTTGTGTGCAGATGGGCATGGCATGAGCAAAAGCACAGAGAGGAAGAACAACACCAAGAGGGTTTTGTTTGGTTGGAGAACAGAGAATAGAAAAGGGAACAGGGGAAAATAAAGACTCAAAAAATAAACTGGGATCAGATTATAGAGATCTCAAATGCCAGGTCAATGAGTATGGCTTCCATTTTGTAGGTCAGCCATTGAAAGTTTTTAATACAGAGCAGTAACATCATAACATGACTATGACAATTGGTGAAATGTCGATTAGAGCAGAGGACAGAGGCTAAATTTAGGTTACATGCTTTATACCAAAAGCAATTAAGACTTAAACTGACCAGGAGTATCATGAAAATCACTTTGGTTTAAAGCTTATCTTGTGGTGAGACGCCTGGGTGGCTCAGTGGGTTAAGCCTCTGCCTTCGGCTCAGGTCATGGTCTCAGGGTTCTGGGATCGAGCCCCACATCGGGCTCTCTGCTCAGCGGGGAACCTGCTTCCTCCTCTCTCTCTGCCTGCCTCTCTGCCTACTTGTGATCTCTGTCTGTCAAATAAATAAATAAATAAAAATCTAAAAAAAAAAAAAAAGATAAAAAAAAAAAGCTTATCTCGTGGTAACAATTCTTAAATTTTAAGTGTACTCTGCCTTCCTTGAACAGAACAATATTTCATGAACTGGAAACTAATGGCCACATTTTTATTAAACTAAAACAGAGCAACTATAAGAGTAATAGAATCTTACCTTGCACATGTCCACCCAAATCAAAAGTTGTAAAGGTCATGCCAGCAATGGTTAGTTCTTCTGAAGCTAAATAACAATATGACAAGAAAATCATATATTCTTACAACAAGAAAATCAGATATCCATTCATGGTATATATTGCTACTTAATGTTTGATTAACTGCAAATAAGTTCAAATCAAACATTTAGGCACTAATACAAGAATTTGTTGTAATTAGATATACTTCAATTTATACTGACAACATAACACAAGTCGTGATAATATTCTAGTATTCACTAACCTCCACAAATCCAACATTTTTTTTCCTTCTCTCTCCTGCTGAAAATATTAACTATTCAGATAATTATTTGCTGTGAATTCAAGTAACTGCTCCAACCTAATAATTTTTTCTATAATTCTTCTTAGATGATACCAGGGAAATTTTCTCTCATGGCTGTCATATTACCAAGTGATGACAGTCTTTAATGATAAACATGGTTGCAATAAAAATTTTTGCTATGTCTTCAAATTTTTTTCTGCTCCCTCCCTCCCTTCCTCTCCTAGGACTTCAAGTATAGGTTGGCTAGACTGCTTTGTTTTTGTTTTTGTTTTAAGATTTTATTCATCTACTTGATGGACAGAGATCACAAGTAGGCAGATAGGCAGGCAGCGAGAAAGAGGGAAGCAGGCCCCCCGCAGAGAGCCTGAAGCGGGGCTCGATTCCAGGATCCTAGGATCATGACCTGAGCCAAAGGCAGAGGCTTTAACCCACTGAGCCACCCAGATGCCCTAAACTGCTTCGTATTTTCCTGCAAGTCACTGAGTATCTGTTCATTTCACTTTTCTCTATGCTTCATTTTATACACTTTCTATTATGTTGACTTAAGTTCACTGGTCCTTGCTTCTGCAGTACTGGCATTATTTTGTTGTTAATCCTATGGAGTGAAAATTTTACTTCAGTTACTGTTATTTTTTCATTTGTAGACGTTTCCACTTGGTTCTGTCTTGTATCTTCCATTTCTTTCCTCATTCTTTTCATGTTTTCCTTCAGTCCATGAGCACATTCATCACAGCTCTTTTGGCATCCTCATCTACTAATTCCATGATCTTAGTCACTTCTGAGTCTATCACTACTGACTGATTTTTCTCCTGGTTTTGGGTCACACTTTACTGCTTCTTTGCATGTCTCGTCATTTTTTACTCGATGCTGGATTTCACTGTATTCCTTTGAAGTGAGGTGGACTTTGTGCTGGCAGACAGTTATACTGCTTGCAGATCAGTTTTTAAGTTTTGTTAGGTTACAGTTGTCTTTACTTTGCCAGTACTTCTGCCCCATTACTAAGGTATGGCCCTTCTGGAGTCTCTAGTGAATGCCAGATCTCTCCTTTGCGGCTGGTGGGAATATGAATGGTTCCTGGGCGCATGTGAACTCTGAGAATTATTTGGTTAACAGCTTTGCTACAATTATTCTTTCTCCAGAAATTGTTTTTTGATTGGCCAAGGGGAGTTTTACCCTATGCACATGGATTGGTATTTAGCCATGAACCTTTCTGCAGTTCTTTGTCTGTAGAGCTCCTTCCTCTCTGGTATTATGCCAAGCAAATTCTCGTCACCTCAGTCTCTGTCTCACCTCAGCAAGGCTACTGGGTTATGTTTGGATTTCTTCTCCCTGCACCATGGTCTGAAGATTATCTCTGTGGTAAAACTTGAATAAAGAAAGGTTTGTTTTCCTTCTCTCGGGAATCATAGTCCTGTGTTAGATATTGTCCAGTTCTGAAAACAGTTGTAGTATATATGTTTGTCCAGTTTTCTAGCTGCTTACAGTGTGATAATTCCAGATGCTCTTACTGCCCCAGAACAAAAGCAGAAGTCCCCTACAATAATAATGAAAGGTTCAGTATAATTTTAACTATCCATTATATTGCTGAGGCCCCAGAGTATTTTATTAAAAATTCTTTATGTAGCCTCCCAACTGAATAAACCAATACAATTCGTGTTCAAAGTGTGTTCCTTTCCATAAGGTAAATATAATGCTTGAATTATATTTACTTGGGAAATTACCTTTATGGTTACAATCCCTAATATACTAATATACTCCCTACTTTATAAAATGTCCCAGTTTGAGTAAGACACAGAAAACTTTTAATATCCCAGGGAGTTTGCCCTTTCCCACTCACTGTCTACTCCCAGGAGTAATCTGAATTCTATCATCACAGGTTTGTTGCACCTGTTCTAGAATTTCATATAAATGATACCATACAGTATGTAACTTTTGTGATCATCTTCTTCCAAGCATCATAATATATACTGTATATAATAGTTATCCCTATTTCTTATTGAATAGAATTTCATCATTTATTCTTTTGGTGGGGATGGGTATCTGCACTGTTTCCAGTTTGGGGCTATAACAAAGAAAGCTGGTATAAACATTCTTGTACAAGGATTTTGGCGAATATGTATTTTCATTTCTTCTTGATAAATACTTAGCAATGGAACTGTCAGATCATAGGGTAGATACATATTACCTTTATCATATATATTCTTGATTAATGAAAAATGTTAAGATAAAATGAACAAGAATGGCAGGAAAGTTGAGATGGCAACTGTTTTGTGCCACTGCTTTCACTCCTCGTACTTTGAACAATGTGTGACATAAAGTAGGTGTCAATAAATATTTGATGAATAAAGGAGAGCAGCATCAAAAATATAAAAATGGGGGTGCCTGGCCAGCTCATTTCATAGAGCATGCAACTCTTGTTCAGGGTTATACACTGAAGCCCCATGTTGGGTGTATAGATTACTTAAAATCTTTAAAAAATTTTTTTAACTGACTTACACCTAATATAATACCACACCACTCTGTAGTCTCTTCCAACTGTTTTTGCATACAATTTATATACTCAATTTCACAATTATCATTTTTTTCTTTAATAGTATTGTTCTTGTATCAGAATCTTATTTGCCAAGCTCCACTCTTATCCTAATATAAAAAAAGATGTATCAGTTTTATGAAATCTTCCTTTTCCAACTAAAAGTTTTATCAATAAAATAGTACTTTGTTTTTGTTATTCTTCTTCCTTGTTCTCTGTATATTTACTGAATTAAATAACTATCATATTATCTACTTTCTGGTCCAGTGTTCAATTTTATGCTGATTATTTAAATCTACACTCATTATTTCATAATTAATCTGTGATTAGCTTGTTTTTGAGCTCGATGTTTAAAAAAATAAAATTAGAGGTACCAAGTGGCTCAGGGCATGATCACAGGGTCCTGAGATCGAGCCCCACATTGGGTTTTCTGCTCAGCGGGGAGCCTGCTTCCCTTCCTCTCTCTCTGCCTGCTTCTCTGCCTACTTGTGATCTCTGTCAAAATAAATAAATAAAATCTTTAAAAAAATGAAAAAACAAAACTTTATGTCTACTTGACTCATAGTCTTTTCAAGTGACAGAAGGTCACAGGTATTTAAATTAGGCTTCTAGGGACGCCTGGGTGGCTCAGTTGGTTAAGCGGCTGCCTTTGGCTTAGGTCATGATCCCAGCATCTTGGGATCGAGTCCCACACATCGGGCTCCTTGCTTGGTGGGAAAGCCTGCTTCTCCCTCTGCCTCTGCTTGCCATTCCATCTGCCTGTGCTCACTCTTTCACTCTCTCGCTCTTCCTCTCAAATAAATAAATAAAATCTTAAAAAAAAAAAATTAGGCTTCTATTCTAATAATTTTGTCACTTTAACATGAACTTTACTTTCTCAAATAGTACCATGATATAACCTTATATACTTACTGGATGGTATGTAGTAAGTGATTTATAGAGTCATTGTTAATGTCATTCAGGCAGTCTTTCTTAAAGAAAGCAATGGAACTGTCAGATCATTGTTCTAAATTGTTCTAAAACTTTCTATAAATGTATCTGTATGTGCCCTGTTTTTTGGAATAATTCTATGGTCTTTATAACAGATACTTTGTTGAGGTTTCTCAGAGTAGAGAATTGACTGGTTAATAAATTGAGAGTCACTAGCAAAGTGTAAGACTATAATCTGTCCGCTGAATAATGATTAGAAGTAGTTTTAAAACTTGAAAGAAATTTAGGTTATCTAAACAAGGTAACGGTGACTATTTATAGCCTAAGCAATATCTGGTTGGAAAGACCTCAATCATGTTAAAATCCCTGAGACAGTAACTTTAATTCCTCTAGCTGAAGAAGGGTATACTAACTGAAAAAAATCTATGTGTATTATTTTAAGATCTAGATGTGCTTCTTGGAAGTGGAGTGGGTTAGCTATGATTTATTATACTATTTTAAGAATAGGTCATATCACCCGATCATAATACACCAAAAAACACCGAAAGACAAAAAATTTTTTGTTAGTGCCTATGAACTGGTATCACTTGATAAAGTAACATGTTGTACATGGGAATATACTTACTGGGATGTAACGTTGGGACATGTTGTCCAAGTCTGTCATCTTTTAGCATGTGTAGCAATGTTGTTTTTCCTGCATTATCCAATCCAAGAAATACCAATTTACCGGTTTTCTTATATAATCCTGCAGAGTAAGAGCTATGATTAGTCAAAATTCTGACATAGATTTTCCAAGCAAAAGACTTCAAATAAAAGTATAGTATAACATTTACATAAGGAAAATATATTTTGAACTTGTAAGATTTTATAAATTGGCTTGAATAAGCTTGAATTTCTAGTCTATTTTTTGTTTTGAAGAGCTATTCTAAATCTGTCATGATTTGCAAGTTCAGGTCTTTTTTTTTTTTTTTTTAAGATTTTATTCATTCATTTGACAGAGAGACAGAGAGAGCTAGAGATAGCACAAGCAGGGGGAGCAGTAGGCACAGGGATCTGACCGTGATCACAGGCTCATGACCTGAGCTGAAGGCAGATGCTCAATGGACTGAGCCTCCCAGGCACCCCTCAAATCATTTCAAAACTAAACTTTGTCCCAGTCATTGAATGTGTTACCTAAACCTGTCTCAATACCACAATGCTGATTCCCTTGACCAGTTAGGGATAAATAGCAATGTTCTCAATTAGAGAAATACTCGTAGCATACTTGACATCATGTATTTATGAAGCTGGACCAAAAGGAAAATTAAAGGAATTTTCATGGTGGATAAAAAATTAAGCACATATGACCATAAAAATCATATGAGTTTTTTCAATAAAAAGTTTAGGTCACTGTCAAATTTCCCTGAGAATATGGTTAAACTATTCACAGAACTGCCGAAAACTAAAGCAATAACAAAAAAAAAAAACCAAGCACATGATTTAGATGTATCAACCAATACTGATAGAGGAAGTGACAGGAAAAAGAGCATTGACCAATTTATAAGAGATTGGCATTTACTGTGAAATTCAAAATTGAGCTTTATTATTTTTTTTAAAGGTTTTTTTTCCACAGAGGAGTTTTAGGTTTACAACAAAACTGATAGGACAGTACAGAGATTTCCAGTATCACTCACCAAAATGGTACATTTTTAACCAATGATGAACGTATACTGATACATCATAATCACCCAGAGTTACCTTAGGGCTCGGCTCATTCTTAGTTTGTATATTCTGTGTTTTGATAGACATATAAGAACATACATCCATCATTAATATATCATACAAAGTATTTTCACTGCCCTAAAAATCCTGTATGTTCTGCCCGTTCATCCCACCCTTCCCCCACTGCCTGGCAACCACTCATCTTTTTAGTCTCCATATTTCTGCCTTTTTGCCTTGCCAGAATGTCATATAGTTGAAATCAAACAGTATGTAGCCTTTTGAGATTGGTTTCTTTTACTTAGTAATATGCATTTCAGCTTCCTCCATGTCTTTTCATGACTTGATAGCTCATTTCTTTTTGGTGCTGAATAATACTCCATTGTCTAGACGAACCAGTTTAGTTCTCTGTTCAACTACTGTAGGATACCTTGGTTGCTTCCAAGTTTTGGCAATTACAAATGAAGCTGCTATAAAACATCAGTGTGCATGTTCACGTGTGGATCTAAGCTCTAAACTCCTCTGGGTAAATACCAAGGAGCACAACTGCTAGACTGTATGGTAAGAGTATGTCTAGTGTTGTAAGAAATCACCCAGTCTTCCAAAGTGTCTGTACCATTTTGCAGTCCCAGCAGTGAATGAAAGTTCTTACTGATCCACATTCTTGTCAGCATCTGTTATTGTCAATGTCCAACTTTTGAACATTCTAATAGGGTATGTAGTAATATTGAACTTTATGTTTCATGTGTTTAATTGTCTCATACCCATGGAATTACATGAGCACTGGGGACATAGTAGCAATTCCAAAAATATTCACTCAGCCAGTAAATGAACTTTTAAAGATATAAGGCATTGTAATTCAGGTTACCCATTTAAATAAGTTCATGCCAAAATAATACCCAATTCTTTATCCACATTGAAGCTTAAGAAGTAAATTGTTTAAAGTCCTAATTTTTTTTTTTTTAAAGTCCTAATCTTTTGATAACCCAGTGACCAAGAGTTCTGATCCTAAGGGGAAGACTGTCTTCCATATTTACTTGAGCTGGGATACTACATTTCTTATTTAATTATGAATTGTGACTAATACTTTTTTAATACATTTGTATTTCTTTTTTTTTTTTTAAGATTTTATTTATTTATTAGAGAGAGCAAAAGCAGCGGGAGGGGCAGAGGGAGAGGGAGAAGCAGACTCCCCACTGAGCAAGGAGCCTGATGTGGGACACCATCCTAGGACCCTGGGATCATGACCTGAGCCAAAGGCAGACACTTAACAAACTGAACCACCTAGGCACCCTGACATTTCTATTTCTTAAAATGTTTCTAAACAGATTGTTTCTAACCAGTGCAATCACAATCAATCTTACCATCCTTTTAAGTAGTAGAAGTGCACTGGATAAGATTCCAAAAGGGAACACCTACAAAGTTTCAACTTTAATCTTTAAAGTGGGTTGGACTAAATCCTTATCTTGTGACAGGCACTATTAAGCAAGCTGTTACACATTATGTATCCTCAAAATAACTCTTTTAAGTAAATACTATTATCCTCTTTTTTACAGAAGGGAACAAAGGCTTAAAGTTAACTTGCTCAAATGCTGAAGTTAGATGTAAGATTTGAAATCACACCTGATGCCAAAGCTTTGGTTCATTTCATTTCTCTACACTGCCTCCCACTGTTAGCCCTATTAACCTCTTGCTCCTGCGTATGAGGCAATTTATTTTGCTTTTTCAACATAGTTCAGCAGACATTAATTTTTCTATAAACTGAGATATAGATACCAACCTGTTACAACCTGGGTTATCCCAGTATAATGAAGTTTAAAATGTTTATTTCTGACCCAGCTGTTGCAAATATGTAACAAAATATTTCAATCTGATAAAAATATTTAAGAGCTCTTGAGGAGGTAATGTAGAGAGATCTGATATTTGACCTGTAGTAGAGTGACATTATAAAATGTGAGGAATTTTATTTTAAAAAGGAAAAAAAAAAAAAAAACAACCCCAAACCTTGATTTTAAAAAATGTGCAAACATTGAGGTCTAAATAAGAAATAAAAATAGACTGACAAAATTTGATCTTACATTTTTGTCCTTTTAATACATAGTAATCAAACAAAATGTGTATTTTCCAAACAAAATTTATTTCCTTTGTTAAAATTATGTTTATGGAAAAAGAGCGATTTACATAGAAGATGATAATTCATAAGTATGGTTGTGGCCAGTGAGGAATTATGTTGACAACTCTGTAATTACATGAAATGCGTCTCTTTGTTCCAGTTCAAGATGATGATTACATGGAGACTAAACTTAGGGCATGATTTGAAAATACAAGACCAGAAATATCTTCATTAATTACTACAATAATAAAATTGTATACATCAGAACATAAAAGTTAATCAAAAGCTTGTTTCACTGGAAAGTGTGAGAAGTTGAGAGTGTAAATAAGAGAATGAGATGCTAAAATTTTTCCTCTTTAAAATCTAGAAGAGAGGAAAATCACTAGTCAGATTTGCTGGGTATACAAGTCTTATTTAGCAGATTATAGGCTGCCAGTTATGATATACAAGGTACTTTATGGAATGTGCATTTTATAGTAACAAAAATAAAGCAGAGAATTCCTGTATTAAATGAGATAAAGTATCTAAAGCACTTGGATAAAGTGGCTAATCAAAGGTAGCTACTCCTGTAAATAATATTCCTATCAATAATCTTAAGGGGTAGGAATTATTTTTAATTTACAGATAAGGAAACTAAGGTTAAGGTGGAAAAAGTAATTTGCCCAAGACTACATAATTTACAAGTGACACAATGAGTAACTACATTTGTATGATTTCTAAGCTAACATTCACAACTACTGGGTTATAATATAAAGAGGCTCTAGACAAATAAGCACTTTTATTTAAGTAGGATTAAATGGGATAACAATAAAGAACAAAGAGCCAACATACCTAAAAACTGTAGCACACTGCTGAAACCACTGTAAATCCAGTCAAATATGAAGGACATATTGAAATCTTACTGGGTCTGGAAAAGAAAGTGTTTGAATTCAGTAGTCACCATTTTGAACAACATTAAACATGAACTCTGAGTAAATAATCCTACAAGAACCTTACTATAAGGAGTCAGCCATTCATATCCAGGGTGGTCTTTTTTTTTCTTTTTTTTTTTTTTTAAGATTTTATTTATTTGACAGAGAGAGAGAGAGAAATCACAAGTAAGCAGAGCAGAGAGCCTGATGCCGGGCTCAATCCCAGGATGCTGAGATCATGACCTGAGCCAAAGGCAGAGGCTCAACCCACTGAACCACCTAGGTGCCTGTATCCGGGGTGGTCTAATCTGATATATACTGATGCATTAAAAAAAAAAAAGGCCATTAAAATACAAACAATTAAGCCTGCCTGGCTTAATTGGTAGAACATTCGACTCTTAATCTCAGGATCCTGAGTTCAAGCCCCACGCGGGCTGTAGAGCTTACTTTAAAAAAAAAAAAAAAAAAAAAAAAAAAAAAAAAAAAAAGGAGGTTGTGGGGGTGGATGTCGTTAAGTGTCTGCCTTTGGTTTGCATCGTGATCCCAGGGTCCTGGGATGGAGTCCCTCATCGAGCTCCTTGCTCCTCAGAGAGCCTGCTTCTCCCCCTGCTTGTTCTCCCTTTCTCTCTCTGACGAATACAAAAAATCTTAAAAAAAAAAAAAGAAAGAAAGAAAAAGTAAAAGCTCTTTCCATTTTTAAAAAACCCACCAAAAGAAAGTGACTAAAAAAAAAGAAAAACAACAACAACTAGAGACCATTACTTGCCAATCAGAGTGGCAAACACGAAAATGAAGTGTAACAGCCAGAACTGGAAAAAATGTGGTAAGAGAGGCAGTTAGTGGCAGTATAAATTGGTACAAATCTTTTTAACAACTAATTCAGCAGTAATAAATGTTATACTGTTTGACCCAAGGATTCTTATTCATTTATTTATTTACTTACTTATTTATAAAAGATAGGCTTTATCTCACAACCCTGAGATCAAGACCTGAGCTTGAGATGAAGAGTGGGATGCTTAATCAACCGACCCCCCAGAAATCTCCCCAAGAATTCTACTTTTAGAAATTGTCCTAAATACAGACAATCTTCATGTATAAAAGATGTGCATCAAAGCATTATGTAAGAAAAATTTTGGAAATAATCTATATTCAACAGTAATTTAAATGAAGTATGTATGGTCTATGAAATACGTACCAAAACCTTAGAGTGGGGGAAGGAAGAGCAAAGAGAAAGAGATGAAACAAGGAAATTTATGATAATTAAGTAAGTTTTCCAAGTCTGATTATACCTAAGTGGAGTAAAAACCCACTTTCTGTTACTTTTGGTCTTTTATAGCAGATGGTAATAGGTGGCAAATTTGGGAGTCTATCATCTTTCTGCATTTTTCAAATTTTAATCATATTACTAAATATTAAAAAAACATTTTCTTAAATCACAGTAGAAAATGCAGAGCATAGTTTCGTTTAGCATTAACTTGACATGGCCTGATAACTAATAAAGCTAATATAGAAAGAAAAGGGAAAAAAATCCTGGAGAAATGAAAGATCACATACACAAAAATACATTTTCAGACAATAAACTTCATTTTCTTTTTTTTTATCTTTTTTTTTAAGATTTTATTTATTTATTTGACAGAGAGAGATCACAAGTAGGCAGAGAGGCAGGCAGAGAGAGAGGGGGAAGAAGGCTCCCCACTAAGCAGAGAGCTGGATGCGGGGCTCAATCCCAGGACCCTGACACCATGACCTGAGCCGAAGGCAGAGGCTTTAACCCACTAAGCCACCCAGGCGCCCCCAAAGTTCATTTTCTAGAGCTAAACAAAACCCAGGCCCAAATTTGGGCCAAGTCCTACCAATGTGAAAAGTTCTGCTATCTTTGACATTCTTTAGACAAGTGTGACACACAACACTTCTTTTTCTTTTTTTAAGATTTTATTTATTTATATGACAGAAGCACAGCATGAGAGGGAACACAAGCAGGGGGAGTGGGAGAGAGAGAAGCAGGCTTCCCGCTGAGCAGGGAGCCCCATGCAGGACTTGATCCCAGGACCCTGCGATCATGACCTGAGCTGTCGGCAGATGCTTAAGGACTGAGCCACCCAGGTGTTCCATGACACTGCTTTCTTTAACCATTTCCGTCAGTGGGCTGCCAACCTTGATCCAGGCAGGCCCACCGAACTCAAGGATGCTAGATGATAAGGTGTTAGGAGATTATATTGCATTGAAAGTGAGAGACAAAAGAGACACCTACCTCCAGTTTAGGAGTCCTAGCAGTATTTACTAGGATATTCCCTGGATCCAGGCAATAGCCTCTCCCCTCTTCCATCCCCTTACTTTAACACGCAAGAGCAAAATTTTGTTCTTGCAATCAGTCCATTCCTGACTGAGAGTGACTCACAAATTATGAAGTTTCATGTGTCAGTAGCACAAGAATGAGAACTAGAAGAGCCACAAATATATACAAAAATCCAGGGATGCACGGGTGGTTCAGTTGGTTAAGCACCTGCCTTTGGCTCAGGTCACGATCTCAGCATCCTGGGATCGGGTCCCATATCTGGCTCCTTGCTCAGCAGGGAGCCTGCTTCTCCCTCTGCCTGCTGAGCCCCCTGCTTGTGCACACATGTGCTCTCTCTCTCTGACATAATAAATAAAATCTTAAATCCCAAAACTCTCTCCTTCTGACCCTCACCACCACTCGCTTGCTCTCTCTCTCTAAATAAATCTTAAAAAAAAAAATCCAGTACCTTAGAAATTCTTATTTTACTCAAGTTGAAAATTATATCTCATTCTTTATTATTCTTGTAGGTCATGTAGAAATTTGAAACTTGTAGTCACAGAAAATATACATAAGGGAATTATCTTTCCTGAAGATTTTTAGGTAAGATGTTTATTTTTCAAATAGAATCATAATTTTTACTGCAGGGAATCAAATTAAGCAGTGGTATATTAAGACATTTTATTTAATTCTAATGATTACCAAATTCATATTATGTCCAAGATCCTGAGCTAGACACCATACAGGATACAAATATGATAATAAATATGGCTCTTTCTCTTGAAAAGGTTATAGTCTAGAGAGGTAAGTTAGCTACACAAATGTAATTCAACTGAAAAATGTTAAAACTGAATAGGATATTATCTAGGATGGTAACAACTTACCCTATAGAATTTCAAAATTTATACAAACACAAATAAAAAAAAACTGACCATACTGAAAATCTTAAACTACAAGTGGATTAATAATCCTAACAGTGGAAAATCAGAATAAAAGAAGTAATGCAGTAGGAAGGGGTATGGTATGCTCACAAATGACTTTATGTTCTGTATAGAAAAAGAGAAAACCAGTCCTCCTTGTCTCTACATCCACAGTCCTATTTCCACAGTTCTACAAAGGCAACAAGTTGTAGCTAAGGAAAGGTTTCTTGGATGATGTTCAGCCTGAATCTTGAAGATTAAATAAGAGTTTGCTAAGTGGTTGTTCGTTGTTATACTATGTGCAGAGGTGTGAAACGAAGTGAGGACAGCAAAAACTCAGGTACTGTGATGGGACAGGTTAGGGGGCTGCAAACAGCGTTAGTCAACAGATAGTCACAAGTGAGGCATAAGTCAGAATGAGGAACAAATCTGAGACTAAATTTAGGTGTTTGGTCTCATGCTTGCTACCTGAAACATTTGGACCTAAGAAACAATACTGAATCAGTCTTTCAATTTAACAAAGCAAAGCTCACAAGAAGTAGCAGCTACCTCTGTAAGCATTATGATTTGCTGAAAGGTTACAAGAGCTACAGGGGCACCTGGGTGGCTCAGTGGGTTAAAGCCTCTGCCTTCGGCTCAGGTCATGATCCCAGGGTCCTGGGATGGAGCCCCACATTGGGCTCTCTGCTCAGTAGGGAGCCTGCTTTCCTTCTCTCTCTCTGCCTGCCTCTCTGCCTACTTGTGATCTCTGTCAAATAAATAAATAAAATCTTTAAAAAAAAAAAAAAAAAACCAAGAGCTACAGAGCCAGGACTTTACCACTGACCTTAGACAAGTTATTTCAATTTCCTTACCTGTAAACTGGGGACAATAATAGCTACCTGAGATGGCCGTGAAGATTAAATCCATTACTACACACAAAGCACTTAGCAGCTGGCATGGAAGAAGCATTCAGCGTTAGCTGCTCTATTTCTCCTACCATGTGGACACAGGACCAGGCACTTTGTGGATGTCACCACTAAATACCCCAACAACCTTTCAAAGTAAATATTATATTATTTTTATTTTTAAGTAGGCTCCATGCCCAATGTGGGGCTTGAACTCAGGACCCCAAGATGAAGAGTCACATGCTCTACTGACTGGTCCCCAAAGTAAATACATTACTGTTCCATTTTACAGAAGAAGAAACTGAAGTTACAATAACTAAATTTCAGGTATTAGGGATTGTCACATTCAAGTTCCAAACATGGGTCTTTCTGATTTCCAGGTCCATTCCCTTTCTCTTACATTGCAGTGGCTTTATGACAGTTTTAAAGGTTTAGATTTTCTTTTCTTTTTTTTTTTTTTTTTAAGATTTTTATTTATTTATTTGACACAGAGGGGCGCCTGGGTGGCTCAGTGGGTTAAAGCTTCTGCCTTTGGCTCGGGTAGTGATCCTAGGGTCCTGGGATCGAGCCCTGCATCCGGCTCTCTGCTCTGCGGGGAGCCTGCTCCCCCTGCCCCGCCCTGCCTGCCTCTCTGCCTACTTGTGATCTGTCTGTCAAAAAAAAAAAAAAAAATCTAATTTATCTGACACAGAGAGAGAGAGAGAGAGAAAGAGAGAGAGAACTAGCAGGGGAAGTGGCCATTTGAGGGAGAGGGAGAGGGAGAAGCAGACTCCCTGCTGAGCAGGGAGCCCGATGTGGGACTCAATGCCAGGACCCTGAGATCATGACCTGAGCTGAAGGCTGAAGCTTAACCGACTGAGCTACCCAGGCATTCCAAGGCCTAGATTTTCTTTTAAAGAGATATATATATATAT